GCTGTTCTTTGTGATGTGCCTTTGACATTCATGTCCATTGTGCGTACCATGCCTATTTTTTATCATTTCAATAAATGTTTTTACAATAATGCAATAGGCCAGTGCGCCCTCTGTTTGTTTAATTTGTATCCAGTGCATTTGGACTACCCTGGTCTGTTGAGGGCAGCAAGGAGTGCATATTCCAGGACATCCGATATGTAGCCATAGCCCTAGCTGAGTCCATCCCCAAGAGCAGGAGTATTTGAGTTTGCTGTTGTTCGTTGCACAAGTAGTATGCCCTGACATACACCTGTAGGACACCTAAACATTCCTGTGGTACCGATCCATGACCTGTGGAATATAGGTTGAATATTTCTTTTAGAAGCCTTCTGCTCAGTACCAGATCAACACATAGTACTAGGTTTTAATTTAAATCATCATTTCAATATTTTATTATGCTAATTATACACTATTATACTCAGATGTTCCTAACCTGTAATTACTTCAAAAATGCAGAATAAAACAGCAAATTATCAGCTCAAGCACTTTTTAGTCTCAAGAAAAAATCCCCGAAAATAACATTCCTATTCTCCAAATAACATCTCCCAGAAGTTACTTTTAACACTATGGAGCTGTTACATTTCTGCTTCTGAAGCCTAATGATTGCATCTACTTTGACGTGTGTGTCACAGTGTTCCATCGAAATGCGTACAGAATTCCAATAGGTCTAGAGAAAGTATGAACTGCGCATTCAATCCAAATGCCTTTCCTTTGTTGGATTCTGAATGCCAGGATTACATAATGTGACGAATCACTGGCAGAGACTTGATACAGTGTGTCAGGTTCAATGTCTGGTGATCATAATCTGAGCACAATGCAGCCTGTCAGTCTGCACAGACAATAAGTCATGCAAATTGATATACATTATAAGAGGGTTTTCATTACTTGCTCAGCACTGTGATTGTTATGCTGGTGAAATATAAAATAATGCGTTGATTTCATTGCTTGCCATTATACGGTTCGGTGCGCCTAGGAGAAATAATCAGAAGTTTATTTTTTTCTTTTTAGCCGGGGAACAAAAAAAGAGATACAACACTTTTCGGGAATTAAGGCTTCCATTTTGTATACAGCTGAATTCTTCTAAAAGTTCTATAACGGCCCATACAAATTGGTAACAAAAGAATGAGGTAAACATCACAAGTCAATTATCATGTTTGCTAGAAAAAAAAAGTGTCATTCTCAACATGCAGTGGTTGTAAAATAATATTAAGTGGAATTTGCCTGCACAATGCAGTTGTTTGATGAAGAGCAGCTTGTTTACTCAGTCACTCTTAAAGTGTTTTTTAAAGGTACAAGATTTTTTGCCTTCATGCATTCCATGGTAAAAAACCTTTTTACAATCAACTTCCCCCCAGCCCCACTTATGCTTACCCGAGCACAATCTCAATCCAGCAATATGCACGAGAACAGTGGCTCTCTATCTCCTCATTGAACTGAGAGGCAGCAGTGGGAGCCATTGGCTTCTGCTGCTGTCAATCACAGCAAGTGAGGAGGGAGTGGGGGGCAGGGCCAAGCCGCACTCTCTGTGTCAATGGTCACATAGCGCTGGCTCAGAAGTGAGCCTGCATGAGTGCCCCCACAGCAAGTGGCTGTGGGGGCACTCAGTGCGTGGGGTGTGGGGGACCAGGAGCACCGCCAGGGGACCTGGGAAGAGGAGGATCTGGACTGCTGAGAACACGAGTGCCCCCATAGCAAGTGGCTGTGGGGGCACTCAGTACGGGGGGGGGACCAGGATCACCGGCGGGGGACCTGGGAAGAGGAGGATCAGGACTGCTGAAAACATGAGTGGCCCCCATACCAAGTGGCTGTGGGGGCACTCTGCACGTGGGGGGGGGGGAGGAGACCAGGAGCACTGGCAGGGGACTGGGGAAGAGGAGGATCAGGACTGCTGAAAATGAATAAAGTACTGTGAGTATGTGTGTTGTCAAAATCATAAATAATAATAATAATCTATATATTACTGGCAACAGAGATTAACATTTAGTTCACTAATTTATATATCACTGACATGGATCTATTATTACTATTATTATTATTACATCGAGTTTATATAGCGCCAAAGGGTTTGCTCAGCGCTGTACAATAGGGGGGGGGGACAATACAAGGCACAGTACAACAATAACAAACAACATACGAGGGGTAAGAGGGCCCTACTCTTTCGAGCTTACAATCTAGGAAAGAGAGTGTAATGGTACAGTAGGAAGTGACTGAGGGGAATGAGGGGTGGGAGGAAAGAGGGAGAATGGCCGTTAGGTGAGGGTGGGGTAGGCTTCCCTGATGAGTTTTGAGGGAGCGCCTGAATGTGAGGAGGGAAGGCGACAGTCTGATGGATTGGGGCAGTGAGTTCTAGACGATGGGGGAGGACCTGGAGAAGTCTTGCAGTCGTGCATGGGAGGAGGAGACCAGGGAGCAGGATAGAAGGAGGTCCTGTGAGGAGCGAAGGGTACGGGTAGGGCGGTACTTGGGGATCAGGTTGGTGAGGTAGACAGGGGCAGTGTTGTGAACGACTTTGTAGGTCAGAGTTACAAGTTTAAATTTGATGCATTGGGCAATCGGGAGCCAGTGGAGGGAGAGGCAGGGCGGTGGCAGAGGTGGAGCGGGTGGTGAGGTGGATGAGTCTAGCCGCTGATTTCAGGATGGTCTGGAGCGGGGAGAGCCTGCACTTGGGTAGGCCGGTGAGAAGAGAATTGCAGTAGTCAAGGCGTGAGATGATGAGGGAGTGTACTAGAAGTTTGGTGGTGTCAGGGGTGAGGAAGGTACGTATCTTGGCAATGTTGCCAAGAATCTATTCTGCAACTGGTTAAAGCAGATTGAGCTATTCACATCAGTTTCTGCCCAGCAAAGCTAAAAGTTCATCGTTTCTATCACAGTAATACAGGCACATACTAGAGTTGGATTGTGGGGGGAAACCAGAGCACCAAGAGAAAACACAAAGGGAGAATCTACAAATTTTCATACAAATAAGATAGTTAACGCATTTCAACCAGTAAGGCTTAAAACTGGCCAAGGATGGGTAGAATTTTGAACAAAAATTCTTAGGAAAAGAATGTTCTAAGAAAGTTTGTTCAATTTTATAATCATTAGTGCGTCAAATTGACCTTCGTTATTGACTGCAGTGACAAGAGTATTCGAAGGAGCAAAACAAACAAATTTTTTCTCAAACGAACAAATTTCAAACAGTGTATGTGGTTTTCATTTGGTAAAGTCCATTCATTCCAAAATCAAATCTTAATAGAATAAAACATCTTTCAAACGACATTCGAATGTTCAGAGAACATTCTGAGAATTTTCATACACATTTTCGTAGGACTTTTCCTAAGGATTTGTGTTCAAAATTCTCTCCATCTATGGCCAGCTTTAGTCATAGCTGTCTATTACATGTTTCAAACCACCAATAAATACCTTAAACATTTTGTTCCCTGGGGTGGGAATTGTAGATCATCAGGTGTGTCACATCATAAACAAGAAAATACTTAAACAACATACAACTACTGGTGAGTCTAATTATTCATTAACCCCTTGCCTACTGGGCATTTTTACACCCTTCCTGCCCAGGCCAATTTTCAGCTTTCAGCGCTGTTGTACTTTGAATGACAATTGCGCGGTCGTGCAACACTATTCCAAAACAAAATTTGTATAATTTTTTGAGACAGAGCTTTCTTTTGGTGGTATTTAATCACCACTGGGTTTTTTTTTTTTGCTAAACAAGCTAAAAAAGACTGATAATTTTGAAAGAAAATTTTTTTTTTCTTAGTTTCTGTTATAAAATTTTGTAAATAAGTAATTTTTCTTCTTCACAGATGTGCGCTAATGCAGTGATGGGCACTGATAGGCTGCACTGATGAGGAGGCACTAATATGTGGCACTGATGGGCATTGACAGGCATCACTGGTGGGCATTGACAGGCATCAGTGGTGGGCATTGACAGGCATCACTGGTGGGCACTGAAAGGCAGCAATCATATATGGCACTGATAGGCAGCACTGACTGGCATTGATACGCGGCACTGATTGGGAACACTGGGCACTGATAGGCAGCTCTGGGCACCGATATGTGGCATTGGTGGGCACTGACAGGTGGCAGTTGTGGACACTGACAGGTGGCACTGATGGGGCTACACTGATCAGCAGGGCACTGATGATCAGTGTACATGTCCTCTCTGAGGAATGCCGCTTAACGGCTCTCCTCTCCTCAAGCACTATCAGCGCGAGGAAAGGACTGCCTATAACCGGCATTTCCTATTTACATGTGATCAGCTGTGATTGGACACGCCATTGGCTCTTTACTGCGATCGGTGATCCTCTGTGTCCCACGGACACAGAGCACCACCAATCACCGCGCTGCGTGTCTCCGGGGACACACATGCGCAGCTAGAATGGGAGGACATCATATGACGTCCTCCCAGAATGAGCGAATGGCCGCCCATCTATCATTTCCTTATATGGCAGGTGGGAGGTGGTTAAACAGGTATCCAACAGACAGTTGATTACAAAAATGCATTAATTAACAAAGAAAACTCCAACTTCCAATTTCATGCTGTCAGCAATGCCACCACATGGAAGAGAAATGTCACAGGGCCTGAGAAAGAAAATAATTTCTTTCCACAAGAAAGTTGAAGGCTACAATAAGATCAGCAAAGCTTTACTTATCAGTCAGAATACTGTAGCAAAAGTGATACAAAAATTTTACATAGAAGGAACTAAACCATCTCACAGAGATATTTGGGCCGTCCATGGAAGGTAACCCCTCGTCAGGAGTGTCTTCTGATAAGGGTTGAAGAAAATCACTGTGTAAGTGTTCACTGCATTTAGCTAAAGAAGTAGAAAGCCAAACTGGGGTGATTGTTTCCTGTGACACAATACAGCATACACTGCAGAGGAATGGCATGTATGGGAGTTGTCCACGAAGGAAACCTATCCTAAAGCCCATGCAAAAAAAAGCCCACCTAGAATTTGCCAGGACCCATGCTGAAAAAAAGACTACTGGGACTCTGTACCCTGGAGTGATGAGACCAAGATAACTGTTTTTGGAACTGATGGCTTCAAAACTGTATGGTGTCGCAAAGGTGAGGAGTACAAATAAAAATGTATGGTGCCTACAGTGAAACATGTGTCCTGTGGAACTGCATGAGTGCTGCTGGTGTTGGGGAGCTGCATTTCATTGATGGTATCATGAATTCACAGATGTACTTCTCTATATTGAAAGAGAAGATGCTCCCATCACTCCGTGCCCTTGGTCGTCATGCACTTTTCCAACATGACAATGATCCAAAACACACATCTAAGGCCACTGTTGCATTTCTGAAGAAGAACAGGGTGAAAGTGATTCAGTGGCCAAGTATGTCTCCTGATCTGAACCCAATCGAACCCCTATGGGGAATTCGGAAGAGACAAGTTAAGCATCACTCTCCATCCAGCATCCAGGCTCTAAAAGAGGTCGTTCTTGAAGATTGGAAAAAAAATAATGTTCCAATATGTTGCTAACTTGTTCATTCAATGCCTAGAAGACTTGAAGACCTTAGAAATCATGGAGGTCGTACAAAATACTAGATTTAGTAGCTTTTTTGTTGTGTGGTGTATTCATTTTTGCATCAACTAATCTGAGTAAAACTGAAGATTTTGTAATCTAAGTTATATTATTAACCTTACTTTCATGTAATGAGCTAAACAAATGTTCTATAAAACTCAGTTTTGTCAAAATTTTAGAAATTGTTCTTGTGTTCATTGAGATGTTGATTAAAATCTTACTTTTCAAAAGGGGTGCACTCATTTATGGGGAGCACTGTATATTACAGTTAAGCACAAATGGACCTACATTATAACAAAAAATATGATTGAAATAAATTCATTATGATGAATATTCTGCAACATATAAACAAAAATATATTGAGAAAATAATTTAAACCCATCATTATTTCAAGACAAGACTGGCATCCCAGTGGTGATTTAGACCCAGTGGTATCCTTGAGCATAATTTAAAAATCAACCATATCTCGCATTCAAGAGGTCTCAGATGCAAATCATTGCCGCTCTCTGTCAGAAAAACAGGCGGTAGTTTGCACTGGAGGCTCCTTGAGTGTGAGGTATGGTGGATTTTTAAATTGAAGTTTGCTGACAGGAGCCTTTGCTGTGCACCGGTGTTCCATTACAAGTTAATTGGGTGGAGGAGGATGAGCAAGTTCACCGCATAAGTACATAAGATAGTTGTTGGAAAATAAAAGATACTCAGAGAATAAAAAAATAATATATTTGAGCATATTAGTCCTCAGATGTAGTGCCTGCATTAATATACTGCAAAATATGATTTTTTTTTATTTTTTTTTTTAGAAATACTTTAAACACAGGACCCTTGTTAGCCAGTAAGCAAGCTGTACAAGTATTGAAGCTAAAGTTGGAAAAGCCTTGCCCACAGGAGCTTATAGTGTATCAAATTTAGGATAGGTGACCTAGGAAGAACAGGATACTTCCAGGCTATGGCAACCAAACGGTTTCCAATTAAGCCAAAATCAAACCTCTCCCAAGAAGCAAATGTGTTTTAGTAAGAATTACTGCTTCATGGCCTCACTGTCTTGGAAACCAGTACAAACCCTAAATTTTACATATGCAAGTGAATAACTCAAGAGCAATCAAATTACTATCACAAAGGGAGAGCCTGAAGTCCAGCGGTTTTTGCTGGGCACTGTCTTTAGGTCCCATAACACTCTGAGAGCCCTGTGTTATGAGTGCACACTGTACTACATGTTGATTTGTAATGGTAAAAACACAAATAAAACATACTTTTTAAACCTTATGAAGTGGCATACCTAGAGAATATTTCACCCAAGGCAGATCATTTTGTAACATCCTAGTGAAAAGAATAATTTTCAATATTAATCAGGAAAGAATGATACTAATACTGTCAGAAAAGAAAGGAAGACAGTGATGTTTAAAAGTTGAATATTTATTTTGTACCAGGAACAGGGAAGAAATAAATTGCTTTTCCCCAGAGGTCACCAACCAACAAGAAGCATGCTTTTTTTCCAGTGACCAATAGTACTCGGAGCATTTTTCCCAGTGACTGCCCATGTTAGGGTCAGAATTTCCCTTACATTGTTATCGGTGAGAACAAAAGTCCTCACATATGTGGTCAGTGGAAGCAGCAGCCTTTACATTGGTGGTTAGAGAGAGCAATATTCCACACATTGGTGGTCAGTAGAAACAAACACTCCTTACATTGGTGTACAGTGGGACGGACCAATGTGCCTCATCTTGGTGGTCAATGGGACCAGAAATCCTTACATACGTGGTCAATGGAAGCAACGCTCCTTACATTGGCAGTCAGTAGGACCAACACTCTTTACAGTGGTAAGAAGGAAGAAAGAACACATTTATTTACTTTGTAAACAGAAACCATTGACAGGAGGAACATACAAAGGTGGGAACACTCTCAACTGTCAGGTGGATTGGACTGTCCAAGACATATAAAAAGCCAAAGGCTTACTATGCCTACCAGACTTCACTTATAGCTACAATATCACTGTAGGTTAGACACTTTAGGTTGAATATATTTTTGTCATAGTAGACAAAAATGTCACAGTCATAAAGTGGTGAGTATCAGAGTCTGCTGACATAGTAATGTAAGAGAATAAATTTTACAAACTGCAGAAAAATTGTAGAAAACTTTTACACAAGTAGTCAGGGAAGTAGTTGCCTGAAAATATCACAGCAATGCTTCAAGAGCTACAATGACAAGACCAAAATTGCGAAAACATTAAGAATAAAAATATGAAAAAAGAGATAAAAAGAAAGGGAAAAAAAAAAGAGAGGAGGAAAGCAGAAAAAGAAGGGAGAGGGGAAGTAGAGAAGGGGTAAAAAGTTGTGATGGCTCTGGATACAGTGCATAAAGCTCTCAAGAGAGTCAAAATGGCAAAAAAATTGTGTTTCCCAAAGCTGCAAGGGGTAGCAAAATCACATGGGAGAGGGTCAATGAGTAGTACGTATATTATCGGAGGCCACGAAGGACTTTAGTTTATCAGAAGTGGAATAATGTTCCTAAATCAACCATAAGCTGCGGAACGTCTCCTATGTATCATTTTCCTGAACCACTTGTTCTCCCATCCCCATAATGTCATTGACAATCTGAACCCATTGAATGATGGAGGGGGAAGAAGAGGATTTCCATAAAGAGGCAATCAATTGTTGCGCCTCTGATAAAAAGAAACGCAACAAACCTGCTTTTTGAGATTTATAGGAACCTGGTAAGATGGACAAAAGCTATGTCAGATGTAGGGGAAAAAGACTCATCAATTATATATGGAGAACATTTTATGCTAAAATGGGTAAAGGTTAAACACTTTAAAGTGAAACAGTGGTGTATTCTTAATAGCTATGGAGTTTTGACAAAATTGTACTTGTAAATTTATTGCAAAAGTGTAGATTTCTGGTTTGCCAGGATCTGTGGCCTGGCTTTATGTACACAAAGGCTTTGTCACCCTTGTCTGTACTGAGAGAAGGCTTTGTGAAGTACACAAAGCATTCTCACATCCCATCACAATACCTGTTTGTATATAAATGGATCTGGGTTTGTAAATATATCCCTTCACAGAATTCTGCTGCCAAGTGAGTACATAGGTAAATCATCATTGCCTTCATTTGACCCCCAAAATAATTCATTAATGCATCTTTATGCACACACATAGATCATAATGGGCCCTTATACAACTTTGGTTTATTGGTAATACTCATCGCATGAGACTTCATGGAACGGTCTGCATTTTGGTCAGTTTTTATATTGTGGGAATTCCCCTTAATCCTTACATGACCACATGAAAGGGTTTTTTGTTTTTTTTAATAAATCACATCATACGTTATCATGATACACTGTGTTTCCATTAGCAGGCCAGGAGGCTGCCAAGTTGCTACTGGGTAAGGAAGCAAGGGGAGCTGAGTAACCAACTAGAACTAAATTTTAGTTCCTCTGTTATAAATTGTAAGCATGAATTGCTCCACAATCCCTGCAACTACAGAGGTCACGGAATTTGGTTTGTTTGCTTTTTTGTTGTTGTGAAATCTTTATTTTCAGTTTCAATATCCACCAAAAGCAGAAAAGGGAAAGAGATAAGCTAATGTGACAGATATGGTAAAGGGTGCAAGCTCAGACCTGTAAGCACCCCATGCAACGGTATACAAATTACAAACCCGGGACAGATACAGTAGATATATCCAAAAAAGCCCACATCAGTAGCAAATAGCATAGGTAGAGTACTACGCCTATTAGTAAGCCCCGAAAGGGTGCACAGGAGGGCCTACAACTATCCTGAGCCCCCAGAGAGGCCATGCGCCCCAAACCCACTGTAGAATAGCATGGTAACAGAATAAAAATAATTGTTAACCAGAAAATAAAATAAAAGATAAATTAATAGCTATGAAAACCAAGGTTTGTGGGCACAATTCTCCCTGCTTGAAAGCCAGGAAAGGAGTTTGAAGAGCAAAAAAGTAATTTTGTTATGCCACATCAACCAGCCCCTGCCCGCCAGATTACTAAAAATAAAGTGCTGTTAACTCAGCGTTTGACATATAAAATCAGAATATCATTGCATCAACTGTTTGTATAAGCCAGAGGTCAAAAATTAAATCCACAAAGCCCAAATGTTGTGATATTTCTGGTAATTATCAGAACATTGATGTGGCCACTCTTCTGAATGTTGGATTTCCTGTACCTTCAGCTGCCACTCTTTAACAGTAGGGACCACTGTTGACTTCCAGTAAATGGATATAAGGCTTTTACCAGCATTCAGAAGATGTGGCACCACTGGAGTTTTGTTTTAACGTCATTTACTGAATTTGTAAATACTTAAGTGTCCATAGGCTGGACAAACTGTAGGTTCAACTTAAATAATTTTGATTACTTCTCTCTTTGTGTTAGTTTAATAATTATTGTTTTATTGTATTCCTGGAGGTTAACCTGCTCAGTTCTCAGAAGCAACTAAAATGTCTGACTAAAAACTGGGCAGGATAAAGTGTATTTAAGGATATGCGTGTGTACATTTTTAACTGCTGTGATTAGGGGCATATAGACTGAACTAAATAAATGGTTTCATGGTGTTTTATTGGTTGCTTCATTAAAGCTGGAGTTTTATGGGAAGATTCTTTACTGCTTATTCACTTATTCTATATGGCTGTATCAAAGGTATCATAATCTCTCCCATAAAAGTACTTTCTTTAATTGTGTGTTTTTCTATCATAAGTGGCAATTGTAGTACTTACAAACTATGAAATACAGACCTTCCATGGAAACTTCCTTTGCTCACACGTACTTCTGTTTCA